GCATATAACACCTGTGTTGGCTTCATTACATTGGTTACCTGTATCTTTCAGAATTGATTTTAAGATTTTGTTGTTAGCTTTTAAGGTTTTGAATGGCCTTGCTCCAACCTATCTTCAAGATCTCTTGCATGTTCACTCTTCATCTAGAACACTGAGATCAAACAATCATATGCTTCTAAATGTTCCAAGATCCAGATTTAGGGGTAGAGGTGATCGTGCTTTTGCTCTGTCCACTTCCAATCTATGGAACAACTTGCCCTTTCATATTAGACGTACTCATAGCTTGAGAAACTTTAAAGTGCTTCTTAAAACTCACTTTTATTCAAAGGCATTTAATTAAAGTAATGCCTGTCATTATGTTTATTTGTTCTTACTATTGTTGGTTGTAATTTATTATGAATTTTTAGCAATTATTGTTGTTTTGTGATATTTGTGGATTACTGTACATCACTTTGGTGCAGCTATTAGCTGTTTTTAAAAGCGCTTTATAAATAAAGTTGACATTGACATTGACACTCCCAACTTGTCACATATTGGTGCTTGGTAAGGTGCTCTCTGAATCTGGTTTTGACACGTCAGGTAGCCCCCTCACATCAGTTACTGATGCCCGCGGCTCTTCTGGGTTCGTGCCACATAGAGGTGTTTAGGTTGGGGTCCGTGGTCAACATTAGGGATCAGGATTACTGATTAATTTTAAGTACTAAGGTCAGGGATAGGGTGTCTAGGGCTAGAAGTTAAATTTAGGGTCTACAACCGTTAGTTGTGGCACATTCTATACACTTTCAAAAATGGTTAATATATGGGATCAGGGTTAATGGTTAATTTTAGATACTGGGGTCAATAACCGATGCGAGGGGGTTACCCTACGTGTCCAAAACTGGACGCAGAAGGTACCTGACCAAGCGTCAATATGCGATGAGTTGGGAGTGTGAGAATGGGTTGTATACACCCTGTCTGTCTGTCCGTCCGTCCGTCCGTCCGTCCGTCCGTCCAGCATCCATCCATCCATCCATCCATCCATCCATCCATCCATCCATCCATCCATCCATCCATCCATCCATCCATCCATACAAAACAAAACCATGATGGGTTTTATATAACTTGATAAATGTTGTCCTTTTTTATCATCACATCTCTGCACAGACAGAAGTATCAATGACACACTCATGCTAGATTTATTGTCTGCAGCATTTCAAGGATTTTCTTAAAAACCTTGAGATGATGGTACATCAGACAGCGACACATCAGTGAAAAAGTGCCCGTGTTGCCTTCAAACAAGAACAAAGCAGACTAATGTGGACTGATAGCCAGACTGACAGGAGATAAATGTGTTATAGAAAGGATGGTGGGTGTGCCGCAGCTGGCACACAGTCAAGCGCACGACCTCTTTTACTTCAGGCTCACAAAGCAAGCAAAGAGCAGAGAGCAGTGATGCTAACCCTCTCCCTTTTAAAGTCATCTTTAATCCTGTCAGCAGCAGAACAATGCTTTACTGGAGCCTATAATCACTTTATGGCTCAGATATAATGAGCTTATGATATGAAGTGCTGCTTTAATGCACACTGGAGAAAATATAKTTGCTTTACATTTATTCTATGACTGAGCAAATTTCCCCTTTAACTAATCATTGTTTTCACACTTCAACAAAATCCTGAATTGAACCAGTGTTTGTTTTTTGTTTTTTGGAATTCAAAAACCATTTAGAACTGCCTAGTAGCTCATTCAGAGTTGTTAACCACCCCCACCCCCACCCATCCTCCCTACAGTAATTCACTGACTACAGAAATATAAAACAGGCTGAGAAAAATGTCTCCACT